TACTCATGTCCCAGTTCAGAAGAGGAGAAAGATGGATAAAAAGGCAACTAAAGGTTATCTGCTTGGATATGATGGAGATGAAAGGTACTGTGTTTATGTCAAAAAAAACCAGTTTTCCTCTGCAACCAGTTTCTGAAAGAAACTAATCTTAAGATGATGAAGTTGAAAACAAAGTAATAGACGAAGGTTTTCAACAGGACAAGAAGGAAGTGGAGGATATACCAAAAAAGGACACACGACCCAGAAGACAAATTTCAGCACCTAAGTAGACAAAAGATTATCTCATGGAAAATTCAGAGATTTATGAAGAAAATCCTCCAGAAATAAATGGAATTACGAGTGGAATGCAGTGCAGCTGATAGTCCAAGAAACAGAAATATGAAGGCTCAATAGCCAAGAAAGCTTTCCAAAATGATCCTGAAACTTTAAAAGACGCATCCAGATGCAGAAAAATGGAAGAAGAGTTGAAAAATTTAAAACTAAATGGGACATAATGCCTAGGCCAGAAAAAAGGAAAGTCATGAAATACAAGTGGGTCTTCAAGAGAAAACAAAGATGGACAAGTGGAAAGATATAAAGCTCGTTTAGTTGCTTGTGGCTACGCCCAAGTGAAAGGAATTGACTACAAAGAGACATTTTTCTCTTGTAATAAAAACAAAATCAATTAGAACTTTATTAGCATTCTCAGTTGAGCAAGACTGGCAGGTTCATGAGCTGGATATTACTGTTGCCTATTTAAATGAAAAATTGAGTGAGACAATTTTCATAAAACAGCCACCAGTGAGTCTGCACCAGAAAACGCATAGAGAAGTTTGCTTGCTAAAGCGAAGCCGTTACGAACTTCATCAGTCTGGGAGAGAGGGGAATATCTGCCTCGATAAATTTCTGAAATCAGCGAACCTAACAAGATTCAGAGCAGATCCTTGTGTTAAAGAAAAGGAGTTAATTGTGGGTGTGTATGTGGATGATCTCCTTGTAATGTCCAGCAAAGATTTCATCATTCAGGAATTTAAGGACAGTATTGCAGCCACATTTAAAATCAAGGACTTGAGAAATATATCACCTTCTTTCAATTAGGGTAAGCAGAAAGGAAGATGGCTGTGTGACTCTTGACCAAGGTGTCTATGCTAGTGAGCTCTTGGAAACAACTAATATGCAAGATGCTAAAGGATCATCAACACCATTAGATCCAGATATGAAATATGCTGCAGCCATTAAGAATAACATGTTGAATGCTGAAGGAGCATTAAAGTACAGGGTGATCAAAAAGTCAGTATAAATTTGAAAACTTAATAAATCACGGAATAATGTAGATAGAGAGGTAAAAATTGACACACATACTTAGAATGACATGGGGTTTTATTAGAACCAAAAAAAAAAGTTCAAAACATTTTACGATTTTTATGCAGAATGGCGCTCTACCCCCATATTGCTAGACGCGTGAAAGATCTCCTGCGCACGTCGTTTGGTGATGATCGTGTGCTCAGCCGCCACTTTCGTCATGCTTGGCCACCCAGGTCCCAGGCCTCAGTCCGTGCGATTATTGGCTTTGGGGTTACATGAAGTCGCAAGTGTATCGTGATTGACCAACATCTCTAGGGATGCTGAAAGACAACATCCGACGCCAATGCCTCACCATAACTCCGGACATGCTTTACAGTGCTGTTCACAACATTATTCCTCGACTACAGCAATTGTTGAGGAATGATGGTGAATATATTGAGCATTTCCTGTAAAGAACATCATCTTTGCTTTGTCTTAATTTGTTATGCTAATTATTGCTTTTCTGATCAGATTATTGCTTTTCTAATAAAACCCCATGTCATTCTAAGTATGTGTGTCAATTTTTACCTCTCTATCTACATTATTCCATGATTTATTAAGTTTTCAAATTTATACTGACTTTTTGATCACCCGGTATATGCAGGCTGTTAGAGGGTTCTTTTTTCTAGCAGGAGGAGCAAGGCCAGACTTAGCTTTTGCTACTACTTACATGAGCCAATTCAATAATTGCCCAAGCAAGGAATATTGGACTGGCATACAACTTATTCTTCGTTACCTAAAACAGACGAAAGAATTAAAGTTGACTTTCCAAAAGACTGGAAGGATTTGGAAGTGTTCTACGATTCTGATTGGGCTGGTGATAAGATTGATAGAGACGATCATTTAGTGGCTATGTGGACTTCTTCATTAAGAACAATTAAAGAGGTATTGAAAATGAAGAACACATCAAATCGAATACAAAATTGAAAGCTGTGTTATGAAGCATCACTTGGCTGACTTCAGATATTATCTGCTGGACTGTTCCGGAAAAGAATGCTTCAAAATGTTTTTGGAGATGTGACCACATGGGTAAGGAAATCAGCGAATGACAAGAAATGATTAAAAGATATTGTTCTCAGTGGGCATTCTAAAAGTAGGTGATCTATAAATTGATTACTGCACAGTAATGGGTTAAAAAAGCATTATTTTAACATGCTTCTAGCCAAAATGGCCAACATTGTTACTTTAGAAGATAAATACATTCGAAATAAGTTTTTTCAGCACTTTTTGACTTTTGTATAATTCATTGTTAAATTTGACGCGATATTTATATCTAGAATATTTATTTTCATTTTAATGCAGTAATGAGCTTTCTTAAATTTATGTGTCTTTTGAAGTCTGAATTTGTGTTGGGGTATATTCTTGAGTCTTTGAGCATGGCAAGTAAAAAGAATTTTTTTTCCTTGTATATAATTTTAATTTTTAGTGTTTTAATAGTCACGCAAATAGTTGAGAAAGATGAAATATGTTTTTAGAACTTCTTAACTGTTCTTGTGCTATGTTTTAAGTAACTAAGCCCTGATAAGTCTCAAACATTTAACTCTGAACAGTTTACAGTTTATCATACATGCATCTAAACAAATTACATTGAATACTAAAGTTAACCTTCCAGAGTATAACAAAAATGCAAAATAAAAAGGAGAGAACTGATAAAAAACAAAATTAAAACTTTAGCAAAAATGATGCAGCTTTGCCATTTGGCCTAGGCTACATCAGAGTCTTCTCAATGGAAAAGTTGGAAGTAAGAGAAATCACATCAAAAATATAAAACAAAGCTGATTATTTAGTATAAAACCGTATAAAGTTATTGTATTATTATTAGCCTTGAGATGCTTGTTATAATGATTTTACTATGAGTAATAAAGCATAACAATGTGCGTGAAGATCTTTTTATATCATTAAATATACTTCAGTGTTTTCATTATAGATTCATATACTTATAGTAGATATTATTCTTAGTATGTATAGATAGTATTCTTTATTCAGTTGGAAGCATTCTAAGGCTTCATTTTTTCCCTCCATTGCCATTCCTTTAGAAAGACAGAAAATTCTTCTCTGCAGAGAGAGATCTCAAATATTTATTTTCTTGTTTCACTGTGCAGCATAAATTTATACAATCCACGTATCAGCTATTATCAGTTAGCAAATCTGACTGCGCACGTATTTTGACCTGCCAAAGAAATGTATTTAAACAGCATTGTATAATTACTTGTTTTAGTCTCTATTTTCATAAATTTTTATTCATTAAGATGTTATTTACATTATTAAAGGAAGTAAAAAAGCAGTATATCTTAAATTATATGCTAATATTTACTAAGTGACAAATCTCATGACCAGATAAAACCAGTCATGCCGCTCAGAGGTTTAACATAAAAATGTATAAATTTAATTAAGGGAAAATAATTATTTGTATATTTATCTTGTTTATTCTTTATTATAATCATGTATTCAATAAAATTTTCTCATTTCTGTTCAGTTTTCAAATGTGCAGAGATGAGGTTCTTGTTTCTAATGTCAAGTTGTTTTAGGTGTGCAATCAGTAACATCTTCCTAATGGACAGTAATGCTCATCTCCATTGCACTGTGGGCCTTTCATTTTTTATGTGGGCTAGTGACCAGCAAAGGAATCTAGCAAATGGAGAAACTTGGATATTCTTCAAATTTGAAACTTGTGTGGGACATGTTGTGATGCGCATTCGCATCACTGAAGCCCCCACCAAGTACTGTTCTAGGAGCTTTAAGGCATCATTTATCTTCCTGTTGCAGAAACTGGGATAATCTAATGCACATGATGGAAAATCATCACAAGCCTGCATTTAGGTCAAGGACAACCACACACCTCATTTTTGTTTTCTATGTATCGCTAAAAATAAGAAGCACAAACATTTCTCTGCCCCATATTAGATTACATTTCCTTTATTCTTGTTTAAATTATCTCTTTTCATTTTATGTTCATTCTTAATTTTTTATTTAATTAATGTATATCTTAAAGAAATAGGCAAATTTACAATTTGAAAATGTGCCAATCATGACAAAATAAACATCTTGAGCAAATTCCATGTTCTTAGCTGCAAAATCATTCCAGTTGCATTAGGTTTTATAGTTGTTCTTTTAGCATTTGTTGCTAGTGTATATTATTTTCTGTTTTGAGTAGTTACTTATGCTGTTGCAGCTTTGTTTTAAATTTCAAAGATTGATGTTTGTTCTTTTAGACATAAAAGTTTTGAAATAAGAAAAGTGTTTTTGAATTACTTAGAGTGATATATTTTTTGCTTCTATACGCTTTTTTGTAAGTTGCAAACTTCTTTAATTCATTCTTTTAAATGTAGTCATTTACTGGAATCATTGCATAAAACATATGCTGAGTGGTGATTTTGTTTTTTATTTCTTTTCATAAGAATAAAAATTCTTAATGAACTTTGTTCATTAAGCCCCCAAAAGAAATATTAGGTTACATCTTTTGTAAAAGCAAATATTATAAAGCAAGCATTGCTAAAGCAGGAGATATCTGTATTTTGTAATTTAAATGGCATCTCAGATTGGTGTGCCTTTTTTATAGGCATAATGTTTCTTAAACTATATAAATAAATGACTATTTCTCATTTTTTGATGAGATATGCATTCAGTAAGTCATTCTATTTGATTTCTCAAGTCTTTTCTTATAATTTCTTTTCTAGGAAACTCGAATTGAGGGAGTTAAAGATGTTACAGAAATTAGAAACTAAGCAATTTCAAGATTTAGGTGCAAAAGCCCAAATCGCTCGAGAGCAAGCTGAGAAAAGATTTGATCAGGAAATGTCTGTGAGTTATTGACATGCAGCATTGCTTCAGCTTGCTGTTTAATTGACCTTTTAAATGATTAATTTTAATCATTTGGCTATGTAAATAATTAAATGTACTTATTTAAGCAGAAATCTGGTATAGAGTAACCATTTTAGTGTAGTTTTAGAATGTATTGGTTTAAAGTGCGAGTTGCCATGTATGAGGTATTTAAGTTCGACTTGCCCTGTTTGACTTTTTTGTAAGCAACAACATCAAAAAATTCTAACAAGCATTGAGGAATTATCAGCTCTTTTTAAGTTCAGCTAAAATAACAATAAATTCTCATTGCCTCAACCCTCTCAGGATTGTGTGCATAAAATTCCACATGGAAGGGTGGCTTTTTTCATTACATATTAAAATTTCTGTCAGATTTTAATGTATCTTATTTCAAGTTGAATGTATATTGGAAGAATCAAGGTACAAATTTAGAGAGTCATTCTTTAACAGGGTTCGTAGCTGTCCTTACAAGTGCTTATAAGTCCTTATATTTGAAAATAAAATATAAAGGCCCTTATAGGTGCTTACTTTTTCTTTAAAGCCCTTATTTTTTTGTTTTTAGTGCTTATTTTTTGCTTTTAGTGCTTTTTTTAATGAACGTGCATTTTTCCTCCCGTACCAAAGTCGAAACTAAATAAACAACTTTTCTTCCTTATATGGAACGTCAAATTGTGAATCATACTCCCGGAAATAGCTTTTCCCCCTCTCTCTGCATTAACGTAACCTATGGTGCGCGCGAGAGTATAGACAGGTGCGCGTCGTTCGTTTGGTCAAAGAATTGCGAAAACCGTAGAAAATTTCGGTAATTCGGTATTCTTTTCTGCCCACCCAAATACTACAAACGTTTGAATTTCTATCACGATTTTAATAATTTGCATTCTCGTTCCGTGTGGTCGTTTCATAATCGTGTTTATTATGATCGTTATGCTTATATTATGAGCATATGTATGAATATTTATAGTAATATAGTTGCAGTAGCTGCTTGAAGTGTAGATAAACTTCAAAAAATGGGTGTATTTTTACGCAGATTAGGAATAATATTCGGAATGGCTTAAATAAAAGGAAACTAATCGAATAATCAGAATATTCCCTCCCCCCCAATATATTATACAGTACGGAGGTTGGGAGGTTCTCCCCTTTCTCCGCAAAATCTCTAATATTGAAGAAGCGGACTTTTTTTGTTTGTCACTGTCCAATCTGGATTGAATAGGACTAAAAGTTTTGCGGTCTACCCAACCCAAGCGAAGAATGAAAATTGCGGAAATTTAACGCAATCTGTTCAAAATTAGAATCAAAAACACCCCAGATTAGTAAGTCTCTTTCTTTTCCTTTATTTAGTTCTTTATTCTCCGAATACTGGCAGCTGTTGATTCCGATTGCGTAATATCACATATGGAAGAATTATGCCGCACGTATTGCGCAATAATGTTTGCGATATTTTGCAGAGATAATTAATTTTGATGTTCAGTCTGAGATTTATTTTGAACACTTAAAAGAGTTTTACTGTGCTTTCTAAACAGAATATTTCTCAGTTCCGTTGGTCTATTTTTATATGATGCACATATCGAAATGTCAAAATCATTTATTTAGCCGAGAAATCTAAAGAAAGGCTACAATCCCCCCTCCTCTTTTTCCAGTTACGCTCGACTATACGGAATATTCGGCAATTTCCGAGTATGCGGGTTAGTTAAGCTTTTATTGTTTAAGGATGACTGCATGAAGCAATTTCCTGTCTCCTGATTTCAGAAATGTTCCTCTTTTTTACTTAAATTACTTTGCTTGTAATATATGTTAAGGGAAAACTGTTATGCAATGAAAATTTAGAAAATGTTCAGAAGTTTGATTTAAATTATTTAAATATTAATATGAGTGGGAAAATAAATTGTATTTATTATTAGGTGCCAAGCGAATACAATTAATATGGCTTATTATTATTTATTTTCTATATTTTGAACTGAAATTTCATCATTAAATCTTGTAATATAGTTTAGTTCTGCATAGTTTTTTTTTTTTTTTTTTTTTTTTTTTTCCCTCTCATTGTAAACTAATTCTGTAAATTGAACTGTCATTTAAAATTAAAAAAAAAAAGTTGTTTTCCATGGTTGAGGTAATGCTCATTCTCTTGATAAATATTGCATTGCTCATATTTTAAATTGCAAGTCTATTTTCTTTTAAGGTTATGCTGTTGTATATAATGTAATTAGACAGGTGCTTATTTTTTTTCTTAAAATGTGCTTATAGGTGCTTATTTTTTTTAACTAAAATGTGGCTATGAACCCTGTTTAATTATAATCAAGAAAATACATTTCTCCATGATATTTTGAGGAACTTTGAAATTTCAGAGCTAAACCCATGATGCTTGGAGGGTTAAAGAGGTGTCTAGTAAAAATAAAAGTGTTTGCTCATAAATGGCTGAATTACAAGAAACCTTTAATTTATTCATCAATTAATATATACAAAGCTGCACAAAATGGGCACAATAAACAATGAAAAATAATTATAATTTCCCCCAATTAAGCACAAGAAGTAAAATGAAAAAGATTCATAACTTTTCTTAGAGAACTAAATTATCATGTTATGAAGTTTGTTTAATGTCTAAATATTTGATTGAGCTTTTTACTAAAGCATTTCAAAATAAAGTATATTTTGCATCTGTATGTTGATGATCGAATAATAAATTGGTCTTTTACATCTGAAGTAAGTCAAAAAATTAGAACTGACTTTTTTAAATTTAATTTCTAAAGATTATTAATTTTACTGATTATTTTTCCTATTATGCATCTGTTTCAATCATTTAAACTATTTTACATGTCCACTGATTTGTAAGCACATTAAATATTTTTTATGCAGTAGACTTCGGAGTATTTGGTTCATGACTATCTAGCCTAGTTTTCTTTTATCGTAATTAAATGAGGAACAAATGACATGGCCAAGGCATTGCAAGTGGGCATCTCCTACAAGCCTCCTATGTGTTGTGTTCAAATATAAGTTGTGACAGGAAAAGAGCAGCATTCTGCTCTTTGTTCATTGTTTCATTAGTGTGTAGTGGACCTCAATGCAATACGTTTGCCACTGATCCTGATTACAGTACAACTTGTTGAACGATCACATGGTTCATTTGTTTACTTTCTAAACACTGGTTATTTCCAATAAACTGATAAATAAAACAGAATGAACTTTCTTATCTTATTAATGGGTAATCTGTCTTGCTGTATCTAAGAAGCACAATAATTATTTATTAGGTATGAGAAGGGAAAAAAAATATCTGTTAATGCTACAAGTGTTATCTGCTCTCCATGGCAGAATGCATAAGAATGAGTCATACAGGGAGAGAAGTTTTTCCTTTTTTTTTTTTTTTTGGATTGAGTCCAATTTTGGTTAATGGGGGAGAAAATAACGTCAGAGGTAGAGCTTATTCACCTTCGTTTTCAATGACGACTACTCTACATAACTGTACAGTATTTGTAAATTGTTCTCGGGATGTGCTTAATGTTTTTTTAAGTGTACTACAGTATGATATTGAGTATTACTGGAGCTTTCAAAATGGGTGATAAACGAAAAAAAGTTGTAGTGGCTATGGAGGAGAATTTAGGTACTATGCAGCGATTAGACTCTAGTGTAACCACAAAAAATATAGCTTATGAGTTAGGAGTTGGGAAAAATACAGCTAAGGACTGGGAGGGGGGAAAGCGAGCAGAAATTGAAAAATGGTGTACTGCACAAGCTATTGGAAGTGGAATAAAAGGAAGAAAAACTATGATGAAAGCTAAGCATCAAGAAGTTGGGGAAGCTTTATTTTTGTGTACTATTATTATGAACACTTAAGAAGAAAAGGTAATTTTATAAATGAAACTGTAACTGGGCCAATATTGCAGGAAAGAGCTTTGGAATTTAAGCAACAAATAGAAGGACAAGATTCAGAGTTTACTGCTGGTGATGGATGGTTAGAGCACTGAAAAAAAGAAAAAACATTTGGCATTCACCAGATTACCGTAAGTGAAAAAGTATTATCTGCTGATAAGAAGCTATACCTGTGAAACCATCTTTTCAAGCATATAGTAAAAGAGGCAATTTATGGGAAGCAGTTATACAGCTGGAGTGAGACAGGTTTAAATTATAAGATGCTCCCTGCAAAAACACTTGCATCGAAAAATGAAGCCACTGCACTAGGATACAAAAGTAAGGAATGAGTCACCATTTTGGCTTGCAGCAATGCAACTGGCAATCGCTACCTTAGCTTGATGTTATAGGAAAATCTGCAAAACCTGGAGCTTTTAAAAAACTAAAATATGAGGAATAAATGCCCCTATATTACACACATAAAAAATAGCATGTATGAATTCAGAAATTTTTGAAATCTGGTTTCTAAATGAATTCATACTAACTGTAGAAAAACATTTGAAAAACAACAGTTGCCAAGAAAAGCTGTTATTTCTTGACATAGCACCTTCGCATCCAGACACGAATGAACTTGCTGATGGGGATATCAAAGCTTTATTTTTACCACCCAATGGAACAACAGTTTGTCATCTCATGGACCAGGGAATCATTGAATAGCTTAAAAAAATATCACTGGCATCTTCTTAGTTCATTCATATCAGCGATTGATATTAATGAAGACTTTATAATCATTCTGGAAATGATTGACATGCTAGATGTCATAAAGTGGTTGACAGATGCGTATGAAGAGATTTGAAAGATATCACTTATAAGGTCTTGGAAAATTCTTTTGGAGCACAAAGGTGGACATTCCTGGAAAAAGTGCCGACGTGTGAGGCTATCACTGCAGCGGGCATTACAAAATTACAAATGACGAAGCTGATGAAATAACTGACAACGATATTATAGAAATGGTGACACAAGGAGAAGTAATAGAAGATGGGAAGCAGGGACCCTTAGATGGCAGGAAAAATCTCATCCCACAATTGAAAGGGCTCAAGATGATTGTGGCAGCATTGCAGCATATCAGTCAGCAGGAGGAAACAATGCCATCTGATATCATCTGTTAACATAAGTAGAGGGTTATTACATCACAGAAGAAAACTAAAATGCAGAAGCAGTTATCTATGAATGACTTTTTCAAAAACTAAAAACTGCAAGTTTTAACTCTTATCTTAGGGATTCCTTTTCATGTCTGTAATGATTTATCAGTGAAAAATAAAATGAGTTTGAATCAATTTTCTTAAGAATTAGGCCTACAAATTACGTTAATGTTTTGATCATGTTTCCTACATTTGAGTTAGGCATTGCAGAATTTGTGTTAAAATGTGAACAGTTTATGTTGTTTAAGTTACTTTTTCTCTTATAAATTCTTGAAACGTGTGGTGCAGTACATAAACATTAATAAATTACCGGTGCAAAGCCTTCTATTTTAACTCAACACGTTACCAGCAACTGCTTCAATGATTCACTGGGCTGCGGCTGATTTCACATTCTACCTGGCCTGAGATAAATGAAGGGCTTTGTGCTAAATGAAAAGTGAGAGACTATGGGTTTATATTGGTGGGTTTTGGTATAAAAACTTTGTCTTCTGGTATTAGTGGAGCAAAGAAATGAGTTCGTAGAACTGCGGCCTATTTGGCTTTTTTGTTATCCTGCCACATTAGGGTGGATACTCAAGAGTCTACTGTAGTTTAATTCTGTAATTAAGAAATGTTATATTCAAAAATATGTTTTAATAAGAATAGGGACATTGCATTCATGATTGAAAATCAGCTCAAGTTCTTTGGAAATTAACTTCGTAGGTTTTAATAGAGAATGCCTAGATGAAAGGGAACCGCTCTGTCCTTAATCCATTGACTCTTCGTATTGAATAGAGCTATAAAAGGAAATTTTAGTGTTAATTAAGATTTTAGCAAATCTTATAAAATTTTCAAACCATAGCTTTTTTGCCTGTTTTAACAAATTGCCTGATTTAAAACAGTTATGACACCAGACTGGCTTTGAAAAAATATTACACAACGTAAAAAAATAGCATTAACTGATTACTTTCTCGTGAAACAGGAAATGCCATTTATAAAATTATAGTTTTGGAACATGAACAATGTTAATAAAGTCTTTAAAAGTGCAAAGTTACAAATATTTATGTTATGTTCCCTTTTTCTTTTGTTTGCAAACTGGAACCAGTATCATTTCATTCAGTCATGCTGTCTAAATTTTGTACATATAAATTCCACATTGAGGATGATTTCCATGTATTTAGCTGAGCTTATATTGTTTACAAGTTTCAGTATTTCCTTATTACACTTTATAACATAAGAAGCAATGCACTAAGAAAAGGTTACCCATATGGGCAAAACTGCTAAACATTTGGGTGGGAACCATGATGTTGGTAGGAATTGGTGAACCATGGTGATATAGAGCACCAAGAAGTGGTCGACCAAAAGTACCGAGAAAATGCAAGGACATGGGGATTGTCCGATTAGTGCTCCCAGCCTGATGGATCCTTATCACTGATAGGACGCAGCCGCGTGCATCCTTATCAATGATCCAACTTGGACATAGTGACTGCAATGACCATTGATAGGCAACTCAGTGAATAGAACCCAAGATCACAGAGGTAATTTTGCTAATTCTCCTCACTGTTGCTTTCTACCAGACATGTTTACATAAGTGCTATGCATTCGACCTGGGTTCTCTCAGACTGGAGTAGAATTGTTTTCAGGAAAGAGTCTTGCTTTGAATTGAACTCTGATGACCAGCAAAGATGTGTTTGGGAGATATCTAGGACATTAGTGGGATACTTACCTAAGTGTCATCTCACAACTAGGAGTTGTAACACAGAATGCCATTTCATTTTAATAGCCAGACCCCTTTGGTTGTCATGGTGGTACATTGACAGGATTTTATGCCCTATAGTGTTGCTCTTCCTTTCACTGACCCCTAGATTTAAACAAGGTAATGCCTGACAGCAGGTAGCATACCTTTCTCCTGCATCTCTTCATGCTTCTCCAACATATTCCTGGCAGGTGCAAATGCCAGATTTCTCCCTAAAAGAGCACATTTGGGTTCTGATGAGCAAGCATTTCCAGCTATCACTTGATCTAATCTAACTTGCCAGTGGGAACGTGTATGCCAAACAATCACATATGAGAACATATGAGTACAATTCAGTGCCCAGCCGGATAACAGCTTGCTTCAGAACCAATGCATTATTGATTTTTTTCCTACTTGTACTTGTTTTTCCTGAATCCAATATACAATTTGTACAATACTATTAATGTTCACTTTCATTACATGTACAATGCAAAACATTGCACCCACCAATTTTTGTCCTATTTGGATAACTCTTTGGTGCATTGCTTTTAATGTTAGAGAGTAATATGGCTAAGAGTCTTAATCTCATTAAATAAATGAGATTAAAAATCTCAGTAAATCACTACTGTATGTCATAAATCATTGCCACATGATTTGCCATTCTAACCATAGTCACTAATATTCCATCTATCATGAGAACTCTGATTAGGCAATGTGTTATCATTGTGCTTCTGTTGTATTATATGGCTTTTTTTTTTTTTTTTTTTTTTTTTTTTTTTTTTTTTAAGAAAATTTAGTAATTTTTCATTTACTTAGAAGTCAGGAATATGCTGTCGTTTTCCAAATGAGAGACCTTTTCCCTTACATTTGAATGCTAAAAAAGGCCATTAAGTGGAACTATATCAATGAAAGTATTCGGAGGTGCAACATAGATAGGTGCAAAAATAAGGAAAGCATATGTCCTGGCAGCTTGGAATAATAAAATATTTTTTGCTTTATTAAAAGCAGTTGTGGTAATATTACAGCCAAAATGTATATTAAAAAAATAAACACATTTGTTATGAAAGATTTTAGGATTTTTTAAAAATTAAAGCTTGGCTATTATCTTGTTGCAGTTTTAGTAATATGAAGCTATAATAGTATGAAAGTACCCAGATTTTTCCCTCTTTTAACTTTTGAAAAGTATAAGCGTTGGTACTAAGTTTAGGTAAATGTTACTTTCCAGTTTGTGTAATTCTCTTTGAAAAGAAAAATATAATTAATTTTAAAAAGAATCTTATTTTCTTTTAAATATTTAATAATTTCATCTTATTTTGCTAGATATTTGTGCATAGAGCTAATTAATTATCTGCAGCTACATAAATAAATCTTTATGACAAATGAAAGGCATTTCTCTTTTTTAAAGGCATTAATCCGTAGCTACGATGCTGATCTTGAGGTATTAGGTAGACAGCAGAAACAACAATTGGAAAGGGCTGAGCAACAGCAAGATTTAGACTTAAAAATAGCATCAAAGAAGGTCAGAGCTGAGCAGGTAACACAATCAATTATTATTTTTTTCTCTATTATTTAAGGACCTAAATATTTAATGTTATTAGCTCTAGCTAAAAGTTTGTACTTCAGGTAAATTTTATATGAAGTGTGTGGAATTGAGAGTCTAAAAAATGTGACTTAAAGCCCAGCACTCCTTTGTCAAAACTGTAAATTCAGATTGAATTTATGTATTGTTGCGTGCATATGGGTTCACAATAGATTGAATGCTCACTGGTCCGATGATAAGTTAATAAAGTTTATTTTATCAAAAGAAACATTTCAGAGTTCTGGAATTTTCTGCAGAAATATTCGTACAGATGTTTGTTCACTGTGTCACAGAGTACAATTAGTACTGACACTTCAAACGCTTAAGAATGTTAAATACAATGTAATGCAAAGCACATCTATAAAAGAGCAAAGCTAAACTGGAGATAGTACTCGAAACACATGCTGAGCCGACAACAAGAAGAACTAAGAGCAGGTGTTCTCTTCGACCTTATATAGTTTTCACCCGGCTGCTGAGATATTTCTAGTATTTTCTGCTTCTTAAAATTACTGGAAGGCAATATGAGGATTAAATTACAGTTACAGCTAATATAGTGATAAATTACATTTATTCAATTACAACACATAATACAGAGACCAGAAAAAATGTTGCCACATTTGGCAACTTCTGGTGATGTCTTGCCAAATTTGGCAACAAAAATTACTTTCCAAAACCATTCGCAGCTTGACATTATCTTATCAAATTACCAAAATACCTATTTACTCAATGTTAAAGGGACTTGCCCCTTTATTCTTACTTTCTTGGCATAGCTTCTGTTGTTAGATTTTTCCAGGAGCAGTATAATCCCTGGACAGGAAGCTATACTTTACAACTAAGGCAAATCAATGTAATGCTAAAACAGTAATTTCAGTAAATTATAAATCAAATACTAAATCTAACTGAGTGCATAAATTTACAAATTTAGAAACAAATAGTAGGACCATGGTCTTATTTTATTTACATTCTATACACTATGGGGACTACATACTATGGTGATAGTAAGGGGCTAACTTGTTGTAATGAACAAATTTAGGCTTAGAGTTTGGTGACTTACGGATCCGAACAACAGCATTGTTCAGGCTGTTTGGGACTGTGTAAGGACTATCCCAAGGTGACTCGAGTTAAGGACAGAGTCCTTTTCAAATCGGATTTGCTACCACACCTTGTCAACTTTGTTGAATTGATGTCCCGTAGCTTTGGTGTCGTATCGGGTCTTCTTCTCTGTCACCAAGTTGACTTGCTCTCATGCAAAATTGTCCATCACTTCAAACTGGGCATGGAGATCTTTGATGTACTCCTCAAGTGATGATAGCACATTTGGAGGGCTACCAAACAAGAGCTCACAAGGCAGATGAAGGTCACAACCAAAGAGCATGTGGGTTGGGGAATAGCCGGTAGTATCATAGATGCCAATGCCATAGGCCAGTAAAAACACAGGGTACTTTTTATTCCAGTCTTGTTGGTTTCTTGAAACCACCAACAAGAGACTATTAAGGATGGTTCAATTAAGCGTCTCTACCATGCCATGTGACTGGGGATGTAAAGGTGTCATTTAGGATTTGTCGATGCTGAGTAGCTTGCAGAGTTCATTAATTACAGCTGAGGTAAAATTTCTTCCTTGATCAGAATGTAACTGAAAAAGCACTCCAAACCTGGAAATCCAGTACTGTATCATTACCTCTGCTATCATGACAGCCTTTTGATCGGGAAGAGGATATGCTTCTGGCCGCTTTGTGAAGCAATCAGTGACAACCAGGATGTATTTGTTGCCAACAGCAGTTCATGGCAGAAGTCCCAGGGTGTCAAAAGTAATGCATTCAAAAGGTGCTTCATTGTAATATTGTAGCTTCCCTTGGCTGCCTTTCTTCGATCCTTTCTGACCCACACAGGCATCATAAGGTAGGCACCATTATATCACATCATCTCTTACGTTACTGCAGTAGAAGTGCTTTTGAACTCTGTGCAAAGTCTTTATTATTCCAAAATTGCCTCCTGTAGGGCTGCCATGTAGTTTGTTAAGGACATCTGGTATCTTGGAAGTATCAGTTGTCATCGGAATGCCTTTCCATTATCCGATTTGAACTTCTAGTATAAGACGCTGTTTCGAATATGGAATGAGTCCCAGAGAACCCAGTATCGTTTGCTGTAGGACTGTAGATCAAAATGTCCTGCCAGGTAGGTTTCCTGTTTGAAGATTCTATTAAATCAATTATTGGTGTAATGTTGCTGTCTTCTAACTGGTCATTCCTGACAATTTTGTCACTCCATGGTTTTGGTCCAGACGATGCTGAATTTGTAACTTCATGTATGACCGGATTAAGCATCTCGTACTTCACTTTAACCCTTGAACAATACTGGCAGCTTTATGGACAGGGTCTTCTACACAGGGTATTGGCATTTCCATGTGATGGTCTCATCCAAAGACAGATAATTATGCCATATTCCTGAAGCCTCTGTATCCACCTGGGTATTTGATTTGATCTTACTGATTCTTCATATTTAAAAAGCAGGTCGACCATGCATGATTTGTTGAGATCAGTAATTTTCTGCCGTAGAGGTAATTGTGAAAATATTTTATGGCTTTAACTATGGTGAGCAACTCTTTTCTGGTGACATGGTAATTCCTCTCTGGCTTAGGTAGACATTTGCTCAAGTATTTCACCATAAATTTATTGTTTATTTCCACCTCAACTGGGGTGGGAAAAAATTCCCCAACTGGGGTGGGAAAAAATTGCCCCAACTGGGGTGGGAAAAAATTGCCCAACTGGGTGGGGAAAAATTGCCCAACTGGGGTGGGAAAAAATTGCCCCCACTGGGGTGGGAAAAAATTGCCCAACTGGGTGTGGGAAAAAATTGCCCCAAACTGGGGTGGGAAAAAATTGCCCCAACTGGGGTGGAAAAAAAATTGCCCCAACTGGGGTGGGAAAAATTGCCCCAACTGGGGTGGGAAAAAATTGCCCCAACTGGGGTGGGGGAAAAAAATTGCCCCAACTGGGGTGGGAAAAAAATTGCCCCAACTAGGGCATGATAAATGATGTCAGGATTAGAGCAGATGTTACAGCCTGCTTCAGTTTCTTAAATGCATCCTGACATTGTTTGTCTACAAAAGCTTTTGTCATTGGAGCTCTTTGTCAGCTTATCGAGGGTTATGTGATGGAAGAAAGGTTCTTCACAAATATCCTATAGTATGCATGTCTGAGCTGATGGACATTTTCAATCCATCTCCAGTCTTTAACTGCTGACAATTTCTTTGGATTTATGCACACACCTTTGGCAGAGATGACATGTCCAAGGTAAATCACTTTCTGTCTGAATAATTTACATTCGTCAGGATTTAGCTTTAGATTGATTTTTTTTTTCAGTTTTTGAAGCACCTTTTGAAATGTTGTTTGAAACTCTTCCCGATAATGATCAAGGTATATCAAACAGGATTCTTAGGAAAGGCCTCTCAACACAGTCTCCATGGGGCATTTGAAAGTTGTCGGTGCATTACATAGTCCAAGTGGCATCTCCTTGAATTGTCAAAGTCTTTACCTGGTTGTAAATGCCGTCTTTTCTCAGTCTTTGGGCTGTATCTCTACCTGCCAATATCCTCTCTTTAAATCAAGAGACAAAACCCATTTGCTTCCAGAAAGAGTATCCTGAATATTATGAATTCTAGAAAGAGGTAGCTGTCTCTCTTTGTAACTTCGTTCAACTGCTGATAGTCAATGCAGTATCTAATTGAAATGTCTTTATTTCTGACTAGGATGATGAGAACATGCTGAAGGCTCCATAACGTCACATTATTGCATGCTCATTACAAGCTTCCCTATCCTTCCTGTTTAGTAATCAGTAGACGTTTTGGATCTTGCTTGATTGGTGGATGATCCCTAGTATGGATTCTACGCTGCATTAGACTGGTTTGACCTACATCAGAAGAGTCGGAGGAAATGTCTTGAATGACACTTTCAGCAGCACTCCTCTCTTCATTGCCTAACTGTGCATTCGGCTGTAACTCCAATGTAATTCTCTCTGAAGACATGGATTCTAGAGGGTTGCTTTTTCGTTTAACACTGGTCACTGGAGTACATGCTGCAGTTGCTTCACTTTTCCTAATAATTTTCACTTTCTCACTGACATTGGCAACTCTCACTGGGACAACTATCTTCAATAAGTCGACGAGTGCCGAGGCTATTAGTACTCCTCACGAGGTGTTACAGTTCTTGGGCTATTCAAATACACTGGGCTGGAAATTTCCATTTTCAGCCAAGTATTCGGAAAGTAAAAATTTTGTTCTTGCTGGTACTGTGATCATCTCAAACTCTTACATGATGGATAGATTTAACTCCTTCCTCATTAATTTCAAACAGGCTTATGTCCTGAGAAGCAGAATTCAGCTTGTTATTTTTAAAGTCCAAGGAGAAATTGTACTTCCTTAGAAAGTCCAATCCAAGTATGCAAGCATTTGTAATATCTGCGACATATGTTATGTGATGTTAGGTGACACATCCAAACGTGTTAATGTTCAATTATCTGTTGATGTCGATCTTCATCCCAGACACAGTCTGGAAGAATAGATGAGTTATGGTCCAGATATGATAGGACCTAGAGGGATAGATGAGTTTATGGTCCAGATGCCTAGATGAGTTTATTGTCATATTGCAAGGAACTCCATTGCTATGTCTCGTGATGAAAAGTCCATTACTGCTGTTGCTCATTGCAGAAATCTGAAGCACTTTAAAGTGGGGCATCTCATTATCTTTCAAACTGCTTTGTGAGATGGCCATTAATTTGTTTCTTGTATCTGTGCTGGGAAGTGCTCATATTGTCCATGGCTTCGGTTGTTCTGCAGTTCCTTCATACATGACCTTCCGAAATTGCTTAAAAAATTGTGCATTTTTTTTTTTTTTTGCATATTTTAAATCTCTCTCTCTATATATATGTATTGGAGAATGAAAATGCATTTTTCCTTTCTAGAAAATATTTTTTTATAGAGATTTTTATCATGAGAAACTAAGTTGTTAGAAAAACCAATTTCAGATGATTTCACACCCCCAAATTTTTTTTAAATAATATTCAGTTGAATTACAGTTAATTTCTATTTATTGCATAATATAAAAAAGTAAAATATTTAAAATTTAAGAAAATATAAAGCACTAAGGGAAAGATATCTTAGAAATGCAGTTTAGTATGATAGAGTTCAAAACAGAGTTCAAGGCAAAGTCCAACTCACAATCTTTGCACCAGATTCAATAAATCTAATTAATAATCGATCTAATTAATAATTTAATTAAATAATCAAGATAATCGCTGAATATTTTTTAGCAGCCATTTCTGTAAGAAAAAAGCACAAAAAGTGAAGTTTGGGCGCTAATACCACGTGCCTTCAAATGCCGCAATTTAGTGGACAACTACCGATATCTGTTGGCCAAAACGTAAACTAAACATCCAATACTGTATATAATTTATTTCAGTGGTTAAACGGGGAAAAAACGGGATATGTCCTCAATAAAGGAAGAAAAACACATGCCCGTGAAAATTGTGGGTTGAGCAGATTCAGCTACATTTCAGTTGCCCGTGGAAATCACGGGATGAGCAGCCAGAGGGTTAATATAATCACAGCAATTTCTGTGGTTTTTGTAGCTTTTAATATTCAGTGTTCAATTAACACTTCTTATGGTACATTACTTTTGTCTTCAGTTGCTACTGAGAACATTTACAAAAGGCTAAGCCACCTGGTTAGGCTGCTGGACTAATGTGTTCTGTGTTGGATTTATTTGAACTTATAAGTGAATTAAAAGCATACCTTCTGTAGAAAATTTTAGATACTGCTATTTTTTGGGGTGCAAGCATTTCTGCTTTGTAATAAAAGTATTTTTTTAGATATTCTCACATTATTTTGCATATAAAAGATCCATATTTTTTAGTGACAAGTAATGCTACTTTGGTGAGGGCAAAGCAATCAAGGACTATCTGGCTAAGGGTAGAGATGTCTCTATTGGAGGACTTTCGAAGGAAAACTGTCTCTTATTCATTCAAATAATGCTATGTTTCCCCTTCATTATCTAGTAGTTTTCTAAACTTTCTATTATGTACATATATATGTTGTTTTGCAAGGACTAATTTGATGGCAGTTAATGTTTCCAATTTTTGATTTTCAGAATATTAAGGTTATTCTTTATGTAGTCCATCTGTTATGTTGCATTTTAGTTTGTGTGTAATAACGTAAATAATTTTTGCAGTTCTCTTGTCATAGATGTTTATGTAAAGCTTTGACTTTTCTGCACAGTGATCATGCAGCTGTATTGAAATTTTACATACTAGTCTTGTATTGAAATTTTACATACTAGTCTTTCAGAGCTCTTATTTCAAATACGAAATATTTTAAATCATGCTAGGTCTTGGAGAGAAAATACTTTTGTGAGAAACTTGTGATGATAAGTATGACTAAGCCTTTCTAAGTCAGTAAAAGTGTTTTAGTACGAAATAAAATATTTAGTTCAGGATTATAAGAGTCTTCTCAGTTATTTCTCTTGAAGAGCTACAACAAATTGGCATCCAGCAGCAGGACAGGAATTGGAGTCTACAAAGTAAGCAAGGTGCAGTTGGAATTTAGGTGTTAAATATTTGGGTTTTTTAGATTCTCATAAGCTTTGATATTTTATTATGGATGCTTTAGAGTTACAATATAAAACTTTATGTACAACATTTACAAATAGGACAAAAGCTATCATCAAAGAAATTATGAAAACAAAAGTGAATGTTTTCAGACTTTGTGACTATGGTTTTTATGATTATGATTTTTCTTCCAAAGTGTGGTTTTTCAATTTCGAAAATAATAGTTGTCCAAGATTTCAGAAAAGAAGAGGGAGAAGAGAACTGTGTATCTAGTGTTTTGAAGAGGAGAAAATAAATTATCTCTGCTAAAAAATGAAGCATTTAAGGATGAGTAACTTATCCTGCAGTTAATTTGAAAATAGGGACAAAGAATTCATCATGATAATTTCTTAGATGAGACATAGATATGTTCTAGTGATTACGTGGACTTCTTGTATAAATATATCTTCTAGAAATTAAGTTGATAGTGGGATGTATGCAGTATAGAGAATGGCTTCTTTGTTTAAGCTAAAATAGAAGAAATTTTAAAAAAAGCGGAATAGCTGTGGCAAAAATTACTAAAGCATATAGAGTGAAGCAGAAAAGTTGGACTTTCTGTTTATAAAGAAATCACCAAATAGTTAATTTTTTCTGAAAAAGAAGTTTATTGGTATACTTGAAGCATTTTATAAAATCAGGTGTAGAAAACAATGTATCCTATGTGGTGGTCTTTATCACTGATATATTTCTGGAGGTGTTCTTGGAAGTTGGCATGCTTTCTTTCAAACATCACACTGTCAGTTGGAGCAAATTTCAGGCAAATAGCTTTCTTCATTTCTTCCAGTATATGGTTCTTCCAATTCCTTATACTTCTATACACATGCCTTGAGGTGACCTCACAAGAAATAATTGAACATGGCTAAAATCAGGGGATAAGAGGAGGATTTTAGAAGGCTAATGAATACTAGCAAACTTGAGCATAGTTACTGGTTTTAGAACAGAGTTTTATTTCTGTGTATTCATAGTGAGATATGTTTGTATAAAGAGAAAATATTTTGTGAGTAACTTGTGGTAATATGAATGTCTGAGCCTTCTAAATTAGTAAAAAGTAAAATATTTAGTTTATGCCTATAAGAATCTTTTGTGTTACTTTTCTTGAGGAGTTGCAATAAATTAATTTGTGTATGGTGAGACAACAAAAATTGGAGTAACTTCAAAATAAGCAAGGTATGATTTGAATTCAGATGTCAAATATTTGTGTTTTTAGTTTCTCACGAGCTTTGGTATTTTATTATGGATGCTTTAATGTTGCAACATTTATGAATATCACAAAGGCTATTGCTGAATAAATTATGAAAATGAACATTTCCAGATTTCTCGATTTGAACTGGCAGTTGTGTGATAAATTCAAGCACATGCAATTTCTGAGTTATTATGTGCTGAGGAAGATGGAAAATAAGAAAAGGTGTATGCTAAGGATTTCAGTAAAGCTGGAAATTACAGAGAACAGTACTTTTTCTTTAAGTTAAGGGTTGAAAATTTTGAAAACATTTCTAATGATAGATTAATTCAGTCGCCATGCAAATGAAAGCATCAGTTGCCAAAATTGGCAGTACGGATTTAGTGGAGATAGTAAAATAAGTTTAGGTATTTGATTCAGGCAGTTATTTGTGGGTCTCGAGTTGCAAGTTTAATAGAGAGTTTGCCCTTTGCAGCTCAGAGTTACCCCAAAGTTATTGAATTATTGAAGGAAAAATTTGGCAGAGAGGTGTTGTTAGTGCATATTTTTGTTTGTTAATGAGTTGTTTAGATGAAAAGTTTTCTGCAAAATTTTTTTTGGACCAGCTCAAAATTTTCACTGCAGTACCTAGAATTCGTGACAGTCTTTTGATTTCAGATCTAAAAGCTCCTGGAATAACACTTACAAGCATTGGTGATAATGCACAGCCAATACGAGTTCTGCAAGCCGTGGCTATTTTAGGGAGTATTTTGACTGGCAAAATTCTGGTATTATCAAAGTTTCAGCTCTAGAGACCCTGCTTGGTTGGACCATTCTGGGTCTTGGGAAGGAAAGAGTAGTTGTTAACACCATAACACTCTGCCTAAAAAACTTCCAGGTGAAAGAGATGTGGGAGTTAGAAACTTTGGGCATCTGTGATCTGATTGAAAAGAAAGCAAAATGGTCCTTCTAAGATGAAACTTTAAAATGCATTTAAGAAAACCTTAAGTGTTAACACTGACGATGAGGTGTTATGAGGTGGCTTTATCTTGAATTGTGGGGCATCTTCCTCTACTAAGACATAGCTATTATTTACATATATCTTTTTGTTACACAAGGACTTTGACAGTCAACTCCCAGTTCATTGGAGTACTAGGGACAATGTCTCCAGTCGATTTAAAATCAAGGTTATCTGAGAGAAGTTAAAAAACTTGGAAGAAGAATAGCCTATATGATAATTGACAGGAAAATGATATTGACAGTTTATCTATATGTTCAAACAGTTTATGCCTCTGTAAATTATATCAATATATAACAGTAAAGAACACAGTGTAAATCACAGAAGACTAAGCATCCTTTTTGGGAAGCACAGGACTTAGTTAATCTACAACACTTTGGTGATTGAGAGTTGGCTGTATTTTAGTATCATGAAGAATAAAATTTGGTTTTCTTTCCAGCTCAAGCTATTTTTTTATAGGTTTTATATTTGTTTGCAGATTTAATGCCCTTTACTGCATTTTAATACTTTTTTTATTTTCTGATACGTTTCTTTACTTTTTAAATCTAGTTTTATACTGATTTTTCAGGATCGTGAATTGAGAGCATTCAGGGAAAGCCTGAAACATGAGTTAAAGCTCTTAAAGCATGAAATTGATTTATTGCCAAAAGAGAAAAGGAAAGATGTTTTTAAGGATCGCAAGGAAAATCTTGATGTAGAACATTCGGAGAAAGTGAGTTTATATGCCAAAATATATATATTACTTAAAGTGCAGATACTTTCTGATTATCCTCACTCCTACCTAAAATTCATGAAAAATTATTCCTAAGCCAAAGCAGTTTGTTGCCAAGAAGTATTTATGTTGCAACTCAGGTATGCATGCAGCTCATGTTTGTTTTGGCAGTAGTGCAATTTTGAGTGTATGAAATTCTCTGATGTTTTTTAAGCAAAAACAAATTGCTGTATATATAGAAAGAGCAATGCCCCCCCCAAAAAAAGAAATCTCAAAAGGTGAGTGTTACCTGTTTTGGGGGCTTTTTGAATTTTAATGTTTGATTGCTTTTGTGTTGAATTGTTAATGTGCTGCTGTTTTGAACATGGTTGTTGCCTTTTGCACATGAGCTTGGCAAAAAGTTAGTTGCCATTGAGTTCACAAATGCTCTCCAAAGTGAGCAACAAGTTCCCAACTTTTCAGTGGGAATGCAGATGATCAGAAAGTACCAAATAACCTTATATTAGGTTTAAAATTATATTCATTCATTTAATTGCCATATGTTCAGAAGAGTTCTAATAATTTAGGATGACTGTTTAATCTGTGAATGCTTTTTTGTCCTCTCATTTTGAAATGTGCAGAAATGAAATGTTAATTTTCAGAAAATTCATTATAACAAATTTAATTGTATTTTTTCTGCTAGCAGAATTACAAAAAGAATCACAAGTTATTATAAGTATTAAATCTTTACTTATTAACTTCCTTAACTTACTTATTACTTAAGGGAAAAAATAAGATTCAGATATATTAATTTAAATATTGGGGGGAAAAAAACTCTTACATAGATTAATTCAGTGAAGTTTTACCTATTAGGCAAGGTTTTTCCTGCAGGAGTCTTTCCAAAAGAGAGTGGCTGAAAAAATGGCTGAGTATATAAGACTGGCTCAGGTACAGGTACCCAATTAATATTGTCTTGCCAGTGTTATATTTTAAGTGCATGTTTGATCAATGCTTCTTAGTTTCATTGTGGGGAAAAAAAAAGAAAAAGATATTAAATTATTCTAGGTTCTTGAAAATATGCTTCCAAAATTTTTTCTCACTTCAGATGTGCAAATCATAGTAAAGAAAGGGGGCTGGAAAACAAATTTTCTTTTAATAAATCTGGAATTTTATATTATGTTATACAGATGCATAGAACATATTGGCATAATTAGTTTAAGGATTCAATTTAGAGAAAACATTTCTGCTTGGAGTTTTATAAAGATGGTTCGTTTATTTTTTTTCTCTCTGTCTGAAACTGTGAAAATTACTTTTAAAGTAAATTTTCTGGTGATTATACAATTTGTTACTATAAGGTACTTCAGTGTGCTTTTACAGAAAAATTCTTGTCTACCTCAAAGAATTTCCTTATTATTCATATCCCCTTTTCTAATCCACTATTTATCCTCTTTGTACTGACTGATTGCATTTAAAAATTTAATAATTTGTTTAGAATTCATAAGATGACTCCATTCCTGATTAAGTAATTCATAAGATATAAGTGTGTTTTATATGTAAGCTAATTATTTTATGTGCATACAATATAAATTTGATGTTAAAATCAAATTTGTTACAATATAAAGTTAGAAAAGCAAAAATGTACACAAAACTTGGGAAAACATGATTCCCAAAATTATCTAGTTTGTTTAACTCGGTGTATGGGCTGTTGGAATTCTATTGCATGCTATTGAAGTATTAACCAATAAAAATGAAATTTTCGGATGTTGTTATTTGAAAGTATGCGCTCAAGATCATGATGATTTCAAACAATAGAGTTCTCACCGTTATGGTAACAGTAAAAATGAAAATTTTGAAATTTTCAACTGGTAAGACTTTTTTCGTGTGAAAAATTGATGAGTGCTTTGAAAAACCATGAAGGGCATTGGAATGATACATGTATGATAAAAATTTCTAGTGTAAAACATTTACAAGGAAGATCATGGTACAGGGCCAATGACAACACAGAGAGGAGGGGCATTGATGCACTGTGTATAATTCACATGGATAGACAGTAGAAGCACCAATCACAGAACACCACAAGTAAAATATTGTTTGTGGAAATCAGTATGGGAAGATTGTTTTTTCCAGTCAAGTGCTTGAATGTGCTAACAAGATGACACTTGTAGGAGAATAATGAGGGGAATTGATAAAGGTATTTTAACAGAGAAAATGCTGCTGAAGCTGTGTGAGTGTATAGTGTGAGCAGTGTGAAATAATAAGCTAAGACAATGCTCATGCTCTGTAAAAACTACGTGATTTGGTAAAAACATTAGAAGAAATTGGATGCACTTGTGATTGACCACAATTCAGATGATCTGGTGTTTCTGTTAAGTTGTTGCAGAAGCGCATATTTCTACAGATCCATTGCATACAGCTTCTGCACTCTGTTTTGCAAATGTTTCTTTATCAATTCCAGTGCATCCAGATGTTGCAACATGGAAATAAGCAACAGTATGATGAAGATAGCAGGGGCCACTGTGGATATTATGGACAGATAAGGCACATTTCTCCTTAACTGGGAACGTAAACTCAAGGAACTGCATTCACTGGGCTGATGACCTTAAATGTGGCACCAGTGCCTTTATGTGAAGTTAAAGTGACTGTGTGGTTCAGCATCGTTAGCACATCCATTCTTGGTCGGTACTTTGTCAGAGAAGTCACTTCCACAGGTATGAAAATATGCTCCATCACAAGTGCTTGGTATACAGCAACGTTGAAGAATTATATCATTCGAGAATGGCCATAGCTAAATGTTGATGACATGTGGATGCGAAATGGTGCTCCTCCACATGTCACCAAGTGTGTTTGAAAAGTGCTTCAACAGCCCTTTGGAGATCATGTCTTGTAACTGCAGTTTCATGGCCACTGTGATCCCTGACCTTACTCCGATGGATTTCTGGTTCTTTGGTTATCTGAATTCTAAGGTATTATGTTGATGAGTATAGACATTTGTTACAGAAATTTCAGTGGACCGTATTTTAAAAATACTTTATTTACTGTCATTTTGAAAACACTCACAAAACTTTTTAACTCTATTCTCTCAAATCGTTAGAATCCAAAATCTAAATATAAAATTCGCCTGTGATTTCCATGGCAACTTAAATAATTTTCTTCTTGATTGTGCTGCCACAATAGCACATGTAATTAGGTACGTAACAGCGTACACATCAAATCGTTTCCAACCATCCATTTGGACATCTGTTACAAATTATTAAGATATTGCATAAACAATTTCTTCCAAAAAAATTGAATTATTTTTCCAGCTAGACAGTCGATTGTCTTTAACCTCAATTCTCTTTGGCTCTACAACAGTATTTAAGGGTCTGCCAATTAAGCAATGGGCAGGAGTTAATACATCATACACATCAGTGTTGGACAACAGAGGTACAAATGGTCTTGAATTTAGAATTCCTTCTATTTGAGTAATAACTGTTAAGAATTCTTCATAATTCAATTGGGTATTGCCTTTTAAAATGATACTTAAATGCCTTAATTCCGCTTCCCCAAAGGCCACCAAAGTTAGGTGCGCTCGGTAAAAGAAAGTTCCAGTTCCCTCAGTTGACACGTAACTAGCAAGGTCGTCATCTGGTTTTACAACCCAATTGTGTAATCTAGAAATTTCCTTATTTGCTCCTATGAAATTTATGGCATCTTATGAAAATAATTTTGAACATAAACCTCTGCAAACTGCAAAACTCTTTAAATACGCTACAAAAGCCTTTGATGTTAAATCAGTGACAGGTTTGACGTGAATGGTTTTTGTGACTAAGCATATAAAAATGCACACATATATTTTATGATAAATTCCCTTTTGCTGATGTTTATATTTGACAAGGAGTGGGCTAAAAAATCCACTCCTGAGTAGTTGAATAGGAAGTCAGGCTTCACCCTAAATCGCCCATTAATTGTTCAACTTCTATGATTTTAACTCTAAAATATTTAATGCAGTCATGCATGACCTTTCTACATGTTGCCTTACCCTGAACTGGCCAAAAATTTTGCTTAGCGTAATGCAGCAAAGCAGTAAGAGCCTAGATGAAAATATCGCTAATGATACAATTCTAAAATGAGCTTTTTGACCTTGAAGTAGGTTAATTGGGAATTTATTGTTAAAATTACATTAGCATGCTTTATTTTACCATTCACTCTTAGTACTCCCTCTTTCCCTAAAAAGGAGTTTAAACATTTTTTTGACAGCATTCTTTTGGACATTCCAGAAAAATTTGATTTCTTTTGGACACTTATTGCGTTGAATCTCCTTTGTTAGAAAAATTCCTGCATTGTTGATTTCTTCTGTTGGCAAGGGTCCCAGTCTGTTTTCAGTTGAACTCTTCAGGTTGTGGATAAATCTGAAGAGATAAATTATAACATGCAGTATTTTTATATAATCTTTGTTAATATTAAATAACTCTTGAACAAAGGAGTTAGCAGTCACAGTAAGACCATGCAAGTCATTATATTCTGATTGTTAAAGGTCACTGGTAAACTCATCTCTTATGACAGGCACAGGACTTTCACGATTGGGATACACTTGATCAGTCAGAAAAGTAGGTCCCTCGAACTGCAGTTCTTAGGATTCATTCCTCTTGCAATGAGATCTGCAGGATTGTTCTCGGAAGATATGTGTCCCCATTTTTAAACCTTTATCAAGTTTTGTATTGCTGCTATACAATTTATAATGAAGGTTTTTTAGCAGTTACGGCTCTTCTCTCATCAATGAAAGAACAGTCATTGAGTCACTCCACAGGAAGATGTCAGCCGTCTTTAGCTCTAAGGTACTATTCACTTTTGCCATTAATTGTGCTAAGGAAACTGCTGCGCAAAACTAACCTCAGTATTGTAGCACACTCAAAAGGTGATACACGCGATTTGCTACAAATCAAGTTCACTTAGAAGGTTCCCTTTTCTGATGTTGATTTGCTGTAAGCAACACATCCACAAGCAGATTCAGAAGCATCTGCAAATCCCTAAAGCTCAATATG